GTGAACAGTGTTCTTTTAAAAATTATGCAAAGTAGATTATAAATTGTAAAGAAAGAATGGTAACAATCTCAGAAAATCACAATCACAAACAATAGTTTTTATACTGGTCCCACCAATCTGGTGTACATCCAGTCCCCAAGCAAATCCCGCTTGGGGTTTCTACTATAATTTTGAATTAAGTACAAAATTAAAATCAAACCTGACCAATTTTTAAGTCCCTACAAATTGTAACACTAATTGAGAGACCCTTGCCAATTGCACACTGATCTCTAGACCAAGAGATCAACCTCTCTTAAACCGAGAGAACTTTCCCTTAATTAAACAACTCAATTCCTATAAGCCTTGATTTGAAGTGTTGTGTACCAGAGGCTTAGAAATACTTTTAACCTCCAGAAATTACCTAAATAATATGTATTTTGAATGATGATCAAAGGCAATTTCAGTAAAGATATTTTTCTCAAAACTTACTGAAATCTGAAATTTTTGACTTTTGAAAAATGCACAAAGAATGAAGCTTACAGGTATATCATCATGTGTCATTTTTCTGAACATATAACCTTTTTATAGCCCTTGAAAAGACAAGTTTTTAAACTTTAAATTTCTGAACATATAACCTTTTTATAGCCCTTGAAAAGACAAGTTTTTAAACTTTAAAAACGTTTAAAAATGGCTATAAACTGTCAATGACAAGTTTTTAAACTTTAAAAACGTTTAAAAATGGCTATAAACTGTCAATGATTCAAACATTAACGTTAAGAAAAATTACATTAGTAGTCGACTGTAATGCATAGTAGTCGACTACTCTGTAATACAAAAAGTATGGAATTTAGAAACTAAAACTTAGTAGTAGACTATTCTTCTTAGTAGTCGACTACTCTGTATTACAGAAAATATTGAAAACAAAAATCAAATATCAGTAGTTGACTATAATTGTTAGTAGTCGACTACATTGTGAAATAAACATTCTGTAAAATAATTTTCAAAGCTCAGTAGTCGACTATATTTACTTGTAGTCGACTACTTTGTAAAACTAAAGTTCTGTAAATTAAATTTTAAAGCTGAGTAGTCGACTATAATTCTTAGGAGTCGACTACTCTGTAGTTTTACAGAAACTTATATCTTGAACTTAGACTACAATAGTCGACTATTATTCTTATTAGTCGATTATTAAAGAGTAAAAATGTTATGTATGAACTATTTTTAGACTTAATGATAAACTAGAAACTCTAATGGTTAACATAGGGGATTTCTATTGTTAACCAATACACTAAGCCTTTGTTAGTGTGTTCTAATTTCTATGTGTGTTTGTATGAGGGATCAAGGCTTGTACAAAAATTCTAAGTAAAGATAAATATAAAAATTACATTGATGTATTTGTTCTTCATCTTCTTTACTTCATAATGCCTTGAACTCATATTGCACTTGTTCATTTTTGACATTGAAAGCTACAACTAAATGTTAGTGCAAATGTATAACACACATAGTGATTCTCAATATGAATAAATTGTTATCATCAAAATTATATCATGGGGACATGATATCTAATATTCTCCTCCTTTTTTATTAAAACAAACAATTTATGCATATGTAAGTATATTTAAAAAATAAAAACTTTGATAAACAAATATATTTACTCCCCCTGCATAAAAGCACATTAGAGTCTATAATTCATATTGTTGAGTCTATAAAACATAAATTCTGAAAACATTCTCCACCTTTGTCATTAGCAAAAAGAAATATATAACTATCCTAAACATATCATAATTTCTTCTTCATAAGCTAGCACTTCAAACAGATCATCCAGATTATGAATATAGTCCATAACTTCACTCATCCAAATAGGTAGGCAAAGACTTCCCGTAAAAACCAAAAGTTCCATAATGTTCATCACCATAATCTGTTTAAAATATATATAGCACATGAATTAACTTTTTAATCATCATAAACGTAACATAAAATTCAATCTCATAAAACATACTAAAAGTTAAAGTAACATAGTAGCAACACAACACATATTACATATCTTAAAAATAAATAACTACGACATAGTTTGTGATATTCAAACTCAAACAACCAACATAACACATATTACCATTGTTTTAACACTAAACATAAAATTATCCAAACAAATCTAAATGATGCATGCGTAATCTTCTAAGGTGCTAGAGGTGGTTGATGTCCTTGAAAGAAAGCACTGGGCTTCATATCCAAGGTATCAAACTTCATATTCATTGTGTCAAACTTCATCTCCAGAATATCAAATTTGTTCATATTCATTGTGTCAAACTTCATCTCCAGAATATCAAATTTGTTGGTTAAGGCCTCTTGATTTTTTAGCATGAGCACATTTTGATCAAAAATATCAAATTTGTTGGTTAAGGCCTCTTGATTTTTTAGCATGAGCACATTTTGATCAAACAAGGCTTTTTGACCTACTTCCAAATCTAGTATTCTAGAAGACATTATATTGTATTGTGCATCTGAGAAACAAGAGGATTTATGCAATTGTGGTATTGGTGGTGGAATATGAGAGGAGGAGGGTCCAGCTTTATTAGTGTTTTATGATTGGGGTTGACGTTCTGTTTCAGGTTGATGTTGAGGTTCATCTTGGTGAATTTTAAAGTTTGTTAATTTCATCCTAGTTAGGGCATTGGAATCAAAGAATTCAATGGAATGAACGACAAAATTTTCAGACTCAATATCAACATGAAATTTATCAAAGATTTTCGTTAAAAAGGCACCGTAAGGAAGAAATCCTTTTGGTATTGTCAGAAGATTATCAGAATAAACTTCAGCCCAATTAACTTGGATATTCTCCATTATAGCATATAATGCTTTTGTTAAGTCTAGGGAAATGAAATGGAAACTTTCAGTTTTTGAAAACAGGTTATAAGCTAAGATTCGAGCAATGAAACGAGGAATTGGACGTAGCTTATTTGAATTATTCAATGGTTTACTATAACCAAGAAGAAAAATATGATTGGATAGCAATTCTGAATCATTCATTCTGATTGACCTAAGAGAGACTCCTCAGAAAGGAATGTTAAAATTTTTTCCAATTGACTTAGAAGTCAAGTCAATTTCTACTCCTTTGACAAGAGTTCTAAGCTTTCCAGTTCTACTAATAGTTCCTATACGTTCTATATTAGTATAGAACAATTGAAGCAGAAAAGGATATGTGCGTTTTCTATTTTTAGCAGAGAATAATTCAAGCAACCCCACATTTTCAAAATATGATCCAAAATTCCATGGGATAAAATCATCAAATTTCACAAATCGTCCTGGAAGAACTTTAAATATGGATATTTTGTTAAATTCTTTAAGTAAATCAGGACTTTTTTAAATATATGATGATTTCATCGTAAACATTAGTATGAACTTGCTTAGCTTTCTTAGCTCTAGACATGATAAATCAGAAATATACCAAAAGATAAGAAAGATCAAGTTGAAAAATTACCAAAAACAGATGAAACCCTAGGATTAGTCGACTATTATTGGATGTAGTCGACTACAGAGACTGTCAAACTGAAGAAACCAAAGTATTTGATGAAGATTTTGAGAAGAAAAATGAAAATCTGATGATGCCCTAACTTGGATTCAATGGATTCTGAAGAGGGGAAGAAGAGAGATCGGTTATGAGAAGAAAAAGATGGGTTTTGTGTTTTTGATTTTTCTTTAGAATAAAAATTGTAATTTGTATAGTTAGGATTAAATTAAGAATAAATGAATGGTGAAGATTTGCTCTTAAATATGTGGCTAGGATTGATGGGATTAGAATCAATGATTGAGATGAATTTTACTTAAGTGAAAAGGGTATTGGGTTTAGGGTATAAAGGGTTTAAATCCAATATAATGAAAAACTATGTTTGGAAAAATCTGAGGTTGTAGTCGACTACTAAGAAAATTAGTCGACTACACCGTAAGTGACAGAACTCTGGATTTCAGATTAAACACAGATTAGTCGACTATTAAGAGAATTAGTCGACTACGCTGTAATTGACAGAAAGTTGATTTTTAGATTTTAACTCATAATAGTCGAATACACTGAAATTTACAGAATAACTTATATGCAAAGCTTGTGCATGTAGTCAATTATAGGTAAATTTATTCGACTATAAAGGGTATGTATGCATATGTATTTGTTTTAAAACTTTAAATTAAATCTTCAATTGAACATATACCTAATTCCCTTCTTAATTTAACATGAATTTCTTCTTTTAGGGTGCGTTTGGGAACTTTGATTTGGATTTGGGAAGTTGATTTAAAATCAAGGGATTTTAAATTTAGGATTTGAAATCCATGATTTAAGAAATCTTTTGTTTGGATATCTTTATTAAATGAAAGGATTTGAAATCTTTGATTTTAAAATCTAATGTTTGGGTACTTTATTATACATGAATTTGAATTTAAAATTGATGAAAAATTATTCTCTTAACTCATCTTGTTTACATCAAATGCAATGGAGATGTGTAAAATAGTAACAAAAAACACAAATTTAGGTAATTTTGGCGATGATAGCACAAATAATTACTTACAGTCCAGAATTAGCACCTAGAGAAAAAACACAGGTAATATAAAAAAGAAAAAGATTAAGAAAACAAAAAAGGAAGCATGTACTTCGGATCTCAGAACTCAACACATTCAAACATACGTTCAGATACTTGAATTAAACAGTCAAAACTATTCAGATCCTTGATTTTAACAAGTAACGGTCGAAACAAAGACCATAGTCTATGAAATACAGAACATGTAAAATAAAAAAAATCAGACAAGAAATGACCCAAAGTGAAGAACAAAAATGAGAATGCCTGTTCTTTCCAACAAATTGAAAGAAAAAAGAATACAGAGCTGAAAGAAAAAAAGAATACAGAGCTAAAAGAACAAATTGAAAGAAGTTCCAACCATCGTGACCAAAGCTGATCTTGGCTCCGAAGAGCTTTCAATTTTGCTGATGAAATTGCTCAATTCCATCCACAAGGAATGCAGCATTTAGTTCTGATACCCGCGGAAGAGCATCAGCATAGTCCTAATCAAGGATCCTTCTTCGAATATAATACAGCAACAAGAGAACTCAATGCCTGCGGAACTCGCAAAATTGATGTTTCATTGGTAGAAGATGTAGTGAGAAGAGCCTTCTCAGCATCCTCATATAAATGCAATTCACTCATTGCAGACATCGTTAGGTTGTGCGTTGAGCTGGAGAAATAGCCATTAGCTTCTTCAACACCTCAGCCACAAGACCATACGCATTATACGACTATCTGCAATAAATTTAAAGTAACGCCAACGGCATCGCAACCGACGCCGTCGTGACGCAGCCGGCATTCAGGATCCGGGTGAATGAAGAACACAAGCTCGATCAACAACAGTCCAAAGAAGGCCTTGTAGGCATTGAAAATTGCCTATAGTTCTCCACAACCGGTTCAGTGTTAACGAGCGACGATGAACGTCGCAATAAATTTAAAGTAACTGTCAGCATATAAAGTTCATATTATACGAGAGAGAACAGGCATGAATGATAGAAGTAAAATGAATCTTGAGCTTTATAATATACGATATGATGAGACCCGCTAGTGAATGATGTACAAAATTCATTTATCCATCTGCAGGCTATTTCAACTTAAATAATAGCTACAAGTTGAGGAAAAAGGTATGATAAAAATCGATGCAACAAAATATGTCATAGCTTTCTGAGGAAAACATTATATAGTTACAATTGATGTTACATAAAAATGATGTTATCTGGCTCCACAATACCAGCAAAAATGTGCATTGTAGATTCCAGATAAAAATAAAAATATATATAGCCATGTGCGGAATCTATGGTAAGAAGCTGGGCTTTAGATGATAACTTCATTATACAAGGATGCCAGCTTCCCATTCTAGCAGCCGTCTTCTTTTTAGCAGTCTCTAATTATTGATGAAACCTGACATTCCATGAATATGCAGGTAAGAATCACAAAGATAATGTAAAGTCATAATCACCTGCAAGCATGAAAGGTGAATATTTGATACAAGTAGTTGAGGTATATGCTTTTCATCAGAAGCACAGGCAACTTATTAACTGTGCATAGATTAAACAAAGCAAGACTACAGCTTTTCACAGTCAATAAATGATGAATTAGTGACAAAATCCATCATCAAAGATCACAAAATCCATTAATATAGTACTTGCAAAGGTATATTAGCTGGAAATACTTTCTAATATTGTAACTAATCCCATCATCAAAGATCACAAAATCCATTAATATAGTACTTGCAAAGGTATATTAGCTGGAAATACTTTCTAATATTGTAACTAATCCCATCATCAAAGATCACAAAATCCATTAATATAGTACTTGCAAAGGTATATTAGCTGGAAATACTTTCTAATATTGTAACTAATCCCATCATCAAAGATCACAAAATCTATTAATATAGTACATATATAAGACTTCAACCAAAAAAAACAATAATTACATATGGTATATATGATTGGGTATAGCACACGAATATGATTTTTGGTCATTTCTGAAATTTTCAGTCCATTACATATGGTATATATGATTTATAACTTGACTCCTGGCATGTTTCATTTCTTGATTGTGATTCAGAGACAAAGGACACAAATGAATAGGAAGCATCTAGAAAATGGCAACCATGTCCATTCTGAAACAATGAACGGTTCATGACGATCGGACTGATATCGTAATTGATGGGAGTATTCGATTTCGATTAGGGCTGCCCGCATTAGCTCCCCAGATTAAAAAAGCCTTAGCCAAGCCCTAGCAGCATCCTTATGGTATATAATTCACGGGTATAGTTCCTAAGATTTGATACCCAGCCTGGATGCATCCTTATGTCTTATAATTGTGGCCGAAGGTCTATAAGGATCGAAGTTGTAACTTCAAAGGGGAGAACGATAGAGAGCAGTTATGCTTCTATTGTGGTGATCATGCCACAAATTCAACGTATCATGACTTTTGATTATGTACAGTCATTCACATTTGACCAAACTTGTGCTATCGATGGTGCTTCTTTTTTGTATGTGAATGCTGGTATTTGTATATCCAATAATGCCACACACTTGTGCTATCGATGGTGCTTCTTTTTTGTATGTGAATGCTGGTATTTGTATATCCAATAATGCCACACATGAAAGAAACTCAAACTATGGAATTAATGTATGTGAATGCTGGTATTTGTATATCCAATAATGCCACACATGAAAGAAACTCAAACTATGGAATTAATCAACTTTCAGGATTACCCAACTCAAGTTAAACAATTTTGTCTACTGACAATATTTTTTTCTTAGAAATTTATGTGTTGCAGAGGGCTAAACAATTAATCATCTGCGCACAGAATTAAAACGGAGAAGTTGAGATCAATCCCTGATATTTGCTAGTTCCGAAGGTGTAATTAGTGTCGTTATGTACACTTTCTCTAAAAACTTAATTCACTAACAATTAACAAATATGTATGCTAATTAGTTATTGGCAACTTCTTACTGCTGAATTCAATACAGCTAGCAAACGGATCTCTGTGTAACAGAATATGAAGGGAGTATATATGCTAAAGTGGCAGAGACAGAAAATTAATTTCAAGGGAGTCATTCTTTTCAATGAAGGGGTTCAATTAATTAATTAATCCCTGATATTAATTTTATATCTTCTTCCCTATCAATTGTTATGATAATCATTTAGCTGAATATTCCTAATGCTTTCTTAAACAAGTAATACTCATGTCTATATCCTCAAAATACGAGAAGGGATACGAGTCAGATAGTGCATCAACTTACACAAATACAGTTCACAGAGTTAGAACCATCAAAATTATGCAAAATTAGTCCAAAAAGAAAAAAAAGGATTATTACCAGAAGGATTATTACCAGCAAGTTAATGAGAAGAAGAATTAGAATCACAGAAGGATTATTACCAGCAAGCGCTCCTCTTTGCTGTTGTGGACGAAGAACGAACCGAGGAGAGAGAGACCCTCAGAAGTGGAAGAGGATAAGAGCTGAAGAATAATAGGGGCAGGGGGAGAGGCGGCGGCAGGAGGGGGGGGGGTGGAATTTGAAATCACTTGTTTTGGGCTTTCAAATTCCTCTTTGTTAAATCAATTGATTTAAAATCTATGTTCAAATCAGAACCCAAACTAGATATTTGGATTTGAAATACCCTGTATTTTAAATCCAGGCCCAAATCCAAGTTCCCAAATGCACCCTTAACGGTTTTGTTAATATATCTGCTATTTGCTTATCAGTAGATATAAATTCTAATGAAATATCACCTTTAAGCACATGATCACGTAAGAAATGATGTCTAATATCAATATGTTTTGTACATGAATGTTGAATAGGATTTTTAGATAAATTGATTGCACTTGAATTGTCACACATTATGGATGATATGGGATAATTTATGCCATAATCAGATAATGTTTGTTTCGTCCATAATACTTTAGCACATACTAGACTTATAGCAATATATTCTGCATCAGTCGTTGATAATGATACTGAATTTTGCTTTTTACTAAACCAAGATACAAGTGAATGTCCTAAGAAATAACATGTTCCACTTGTACTTTTTCTCTCGGATTTGTATCCGGCAAAATCAGCATTACTATAAGATAATAAATCAAATGTGCTATTCTTTGGATAAAACAACCCATAATTTGTAGTATCTTTAAGATATCTAAAAATTCTTTTCACGGATTTAAGGTGTGATTCTTTAGGATTAGATTGAAATCTAGCACATAAACATACACTAAACATAATATCAGGTCTACTAGCAGTAATGTAAAGAAGTGATCCAATCATACCTCAATAGAGCTTTTGATCAACATTCTTACCATTTTCATCTTTGTCAAGAGATATAGTAGTACTCATTGGTGTTGGTTTGCTTGTTATATTTTCCATTCTAAAGCATTTGAGTAACTCATTAGCATACTTGCTTTGATTGATGAATATTCCATCTTTTAATTGTTTAATTTGAAGTCTAAGGAAGAAATTGAGTTCACCCATGTGACTCATTTCAAATTCATCCTGCATAGTCTTAGCAAACTCTTGACAAAAATTATTATTAGTAGAACCAAAAATAATATCATCTACATATATTTGAATTAATAAAATATCTTTATTTATTTTCTTAATAAACAATGTTGAATCAACCTTTCCAATTTCAAAACCTAAAATTAAAAGAAAATTCTTTAATCTATCATACCAAGCACGAGGTGCTTGTTTAAGACCATATAAAGTTTTTTTTAAGTTTAAAAACATGGTTAGGAAAACTTTCATGTTCAAAACCGGGAGGTTGTTCTGCAAAAGCTTATTCTTTTATAAAACCATTTATAAAGCACTTTTAACATCCATTTTAAATAGTTTAAAATTCATAAAACATGCAAAAGCAAGTAAAATTCTAATAGATTCTAAACAAGCAACCGATGCATATGTTTCATCATAATCAATACCTTCTTCTTGATTATAACCTTGTGCAACTAATCTTGCTTTGTTTCTAACAACTTGACCAGATTTATCTAATTTGTTTCTAAAAATCCATTTTGTTCCAAAGATTGATTTATTTTGAGGTCTAGGTATAAGATCTCAAATATTATTTCTTGTAAATTGGTTAAGTTCATCTTGCATAGCAATTATCCAAAAATCATCAAGTAAGGCTTCTTTTATATTTTTAGGTTCAATAGTTGAAATAAAAGCAGTATGAGCAATCAAATTAAAATAAGATCCAGTAGTTACTTTATCAGAAATATTACTAATAATTAAATCATGTGGATGATTTTTAACTTCTATAAAATTCTTTGGTAAATCATTTTGTAAATTTTCATCTTTTGAAGCAACTATCATTGGGGTATCATTGATAGTATCAACTAATTCATCATCATTGTTTGAAACAATAGGTGTTTTTGTAACAATTTCATCAAAAGAAACATGCATTGATTCTTCAATGACTAAATTTCTTTCATTGAATATTCTATGGTTAGAGTATCCAACAAATATTCCATCGTCAGATTTAGAATCAAATTTATCCAAATTATCCTTTGTGTTTACAATAAAACATTTACAACCAAAAACATTGAAATAAGAAACTTTTGGAATTCTATCATAAAATAATTCATAAGATGTTTTCTTTAAGATAGGTCTTTAATAAAACCCTGTTTAGAACATAACATGCTGTAGAAACAGCTTCTGCCCAAAAATACTTTGTTAAATTACTATCACATTTAACATGGTTCTAGCACATTCTTGTAAAATTCTATTTTTTCTTTCTACAACTCCATTTTGTGGTGCTGCTCTAGGAAAAGAAAAAGTATGAGAAATACCATGTTTATCATAAAAATTTGCAAATAATTCATTTTCAAATTCACCTCTATGATCATTACGTATAAAAATTATAGAAAGAGATTTTTGATTTTGAATTCTTTTGCAAAATATAGAAAACTCATTAAAAGCATCGTTTTTATGTTTAAGAAATATTACCCATATAAATCTTGAATAATCATCAATAAGAACAAAAGCATATCTACTACCATTTAAAGATGCTACTCTTGAAGGACCAAAAAGATCAATATGAATTAATTTTAATGGTCTACTTGTAGATATTATATTTTTAGATTTGAAAGAAGATTTATGTATTTTTCCTTGTTAACATGCATCACAAAAATTGTCTTTATAAGAAAGCTTAGGTAAACCTTTTACAGAATCATTTTTAGAAATCTTAGAAATATGTTTAAAATTAACATGTCTAAAACGTTTATGCCATAAAATAGAATCATTAGAAGATGCAAGAAGACAATGTTCATTAGAAATATTATTCATAGATAATACATATAAATTATTTTTTCTATATCCTTTAAATAATATAATCAAATCTATGTCATAAATCAAGCAAGATTCTTTTTCAAAAACAATTTTAAAACCTTTATCACAAAGTTGACTTATACTAAGCAAATTATGTTTAAGACCATCAACTGATAAAACATTGTTAATAAAAGGTTTATTTGGATTACTGACAATTCCAAAACCGATAACTTTTCCTTTGTTGTTATTTCCAAAAGTGACAGTACCATCATCCTTATTTTGAAAAGATGACAACAATTATATGTTTTCGATCATATGTTTGGAACAATTGCTATCCAAAATCTAGCTATCTTTCTTGGGTACCTAAAATGATAAACATTTACAAATTTGGTACCCATGTTATGTTTGGTCCATGAAATTAACCTTTAGAAACCAAACACATGAAGAGTTTGATTTGCCTAAATAGTTAGTTGATAAACAAACATTTTTAATATAATCAGAAATATAAATTTTTTTATGTAATGAAGTTAATTCTTTAGGCACCTAAATAAAAAAGAATTTTAATTTCTTTTTACATATATCATCATTTATATTACAAGAAGATTTTACAAAAATGGTTTTCTTAGATATATTTCTATTAACTTGAAAACCTAAACCTTTTGTCTTTTAAGATTCTTTTTAAAAAGAAAGTATTTTATTAAGATTTTAAAGTATTTTATTAAGATTTTCTTTAACTTTATTGAATTTACTAACATTTAAATATATATCATCATATTTTAATTTAATAGAAGAAATATCTTTATCTAAACTATTATTGCGAATATTTAAATTATTACATTCTGATTTTAGATAAATGTTCTCATTGGATAAATATTGATTTTCTTTAAGCAAGAAATAATTTTTTTTCTTTCAAATTAATTTCTTGAGAGTTAGAATTGTAGATGAATTAAAATCTGAAATTTCTTCAAGTAATCTTTTATTTTCTCCTTTAAGAAAATTATGTGAAGCCTTTAATCTCAAAAAAGTTTTATATAATTCATTAAAAGCATCTAAAAGTTCTTCATTGTCACTTACTTCATCTTGTGCCATAAAGCACATATGAGCACTTTCTGTTTCTTTAATTTCTTCATCTGAAGATGAATCATCACTATCATCCCATGTAGCCTCCATAGCTTTTATTTTCTTGTTGCTTTGAATATTGTTGAAGTTGTTGAAAAATCTGATTTTTGCTTATTCTTCAACAATGGACAGTCTTTCTTCATATGACCTGATTTGTTACACTTGAAACAAAGTAAGTTATTTGAATTTGAATTATTTGATTTAAACTTACCTCGTTTTATGAATTTTCTAAATTTGCGTGCAAACATGCTCATTTCTTCATCATTATCTGAATCTTCTTTATCGGAAGTAGCCTTGAATGCAAGCACTTTCTTATTCTTTGTTTCATCCTCATTCTTTCTATCTTTAATTTTAACTTCATAAGCCATAAGATTGCCGATAAGGTTTTCAACCGTAAGAGTTGACAAATCATTTGCTTCTTCAATTGCGGTAACCTTCTTTTCCCATTGTGGAGTAATTGAATGTAGTATTTTTCTTACCATCTCCACTTGAGTATATGTTTTACCAAGACCAATGAGAGAATTAGTGATGTCGGTGAATCTTGTAAACATTTCTCTAATGGTCTCATTTTCCTTCATCTTGAACAATTCAAATCTATGTACAAGAACATAAATTTTAGATTCTTTAACTTTATTTGTATCTTCATGAGTTACCTCTAGTGTGTGCGAAATATCATAGGCAGATGTGGCCGTTGACACTCTATTGAACTCATTCTTATCAAGTGCACAGAATAGTGCATTCATGGGTTTGGAGTCCAAGTTTGCATTGTTTCTTTGAGATGTAGTCCATTCTGAGAAAGGGGTTGTTGGCTTCTCATATTTTGTTTCCACAATATTCCAAAGTTTATAGCAAATTAATTAGAGATAGATTTTTATTCGGCACTTCCAATAGTTGTAGTTCAATCAATCGAACATTGGTGGATGATATGTAGAATGACCTTCTTTGAATTGTGATGTATTTATTGATACCATCTTTAACCTTTCTCTGATACCAAATGTAGGATCTGAAATAGATACACTAGAACACTAGAGGAGGGGTGAATAGTGTTCTTTTAAAAATTATGCAAAGTAGATTATAAATTGTAAAGAAAGAATGGCAAAAATCTCAGAAAATCACATTCACAAACAATAG